CTGATGTTCCCCCTAACGCCTGCTCTCACTCGCTCTCCCATCTCAGGAGATGAAGCATTTATCATTCCTAATGCTCAGAGCAAGACTTAACGGTCTTTATTTATAGCAAAGGCAATAAAGGTCATTGCCCTTGCTGATCCTCCTGATCAGCCTCACAGATGCCCCCTGTCCTTGCGATTTTGCCCTTGCTGTTCCCTGGGTGGAAATGCTCCTTTCCCAGAGATCTGCGTGGCTTCCTCTCACTTCCTGTAGTCTCTGCTCACATTCTCAGCAAGGCCCTTCTGAGGGCTCTATTTAATGTCCCTTCCCTCCCCAGGCCTCCCCAGCCCCCTTCCCTGCTTTATTTTTTCTCTGACACCCTTTATGTTTTGCTTATTTATTTGCTTACTGTCTGCCTCCAGCCACTGGCACATAAGCTCCACAAGGGCATGGATTTGTGTCTGTTTTGTTCACTGCTGAATCTCCAGGGCCCAGGACAATGTTTAGCACATGGCAGGTGCTTAATATTTGCCCACTGAATGAAAGAATGAGTGCACAAAGTTTCTTCTATAGGGCCCCAGTCTACAAGACCAGTCTTGCTGATGCTCATTTGCTCCCAATATCTATTCTTTTCTTTGCCTCTATCACAATGAACAACTTGCTGGTCCCCCACACTCCTGCATATGCTCCTGTGTCCATATCTGGGGTGTGTGTGTGTGTGTGTGTGTGTGTGTGTGAGAGAGAGAGAGAGAGAGAGAGAGAGAGACAGAGAGACAGAGAGAGAGAAAGAGAGAGAGACAGGGTCTTACTCTGTTGCCCTGGATGGAGTGCAGTGGCGTGATCTCAGCTCACTGCAGCCTCGACCTCCCAAGTGGGCTCAAGTGATCCTCCCAGCTCAGCCTCCCGAGTAGCTGGGACTATGGGAACATGCCACCACATCCAGCTAATTTTTTTGTCTTTTTGTAGAGACCGGGCTTTACCATGTTGCCAGGCTGGTCTCGAACTCCTGGCCTCATGCAATCCAACTGTCTAGGCCTCCCAAAGTACTAGGATTACAGGCATAAGCCACCATGCCAGGCCCACATCTGTCCTTATCTGCCATGCCTTACCCCAATCCTGCCATCATCCATTCAGTCTTCAATGCCAATTCCCCCTAAAACTCTGGCCAGTCCCCTTCCCACTGCCTGTCCTGTTAGCTGAGTAAAGACTTCCTCCTCTGGACTCCTGTTCTTTCCCCATTGTTTCAGAGTTCATAAGCTGCTCTCATTCAGAGAACTGATTGCTCTGTGCTAAGTAATTGATTTGTGCAGAGTGGTTTGCACGTTTTAGTTCACTGACCCATCACAGCAACTGATAAACTGGCTATTATGATTATCTCTATTTTACAGTTAAAGAAGCTGAGGCATAGAGAGTCATCCAATGAGAAGTCACAGAGCTAGAATTCAAACCTAGCTTTGGACAAGCGCAGTCTCAAGCCTATAATCCCAGCACTTTGGGAGACTAACGTGGAAGAATGGCTTGAGACCAGGAACTCAAGACCAGCCTGGGCAAGATAGGAAGACCCTGTCTCTCCAAAACCAAACAAAAAGCACCTAGCTTTATTGAACTCCAGTGTCTCTGCTTGTCACCTTTAGTGTCAGGTCCCACCATGAAACTGAGATCTGAGACCTCAGCCAGGGCCGAGGTGACTTCCAAGTCACCAAAGAAATAAGTAAACCAACCAGGAATCTCAGAGCCCTTGATGGGGACTGGATCATGGTAGATGACACAAGGTGGGTCCCTGGGCTCTCTGGCCTCAGTCACTGGCCAGCCCTCATAGACACCACAAGCAAAGCCATCCTGGGACAGTGAGGCCCAGCCTAAGGAGCAGAGCGTGAACAACACGAGCTTCAGCATGAGACAGAGCAGGACCAAGCCCTGGTTGGTAGAGATAAGGTCTCACCTCTGTCACTCAGGCTGGAGTGCGATGGCATGAACGCACCTCACTGCAGTCCTGGCTTCCTGGGCTCAAGGGATCCTCCCACTTCAGCCTCCCAAGTAGCTGGGACCGCAGGCACACACCACCACACCCAACTAATTTTTTTTTTTTTTTTTTTTTATACAGACCAGGTCTTGCCATATTGCCCAGGCTGGTCTTGAACAAGCCCTGGTTTCTTTTTATTATTTATTTATTTATTTATTTTTATAAAGACGGGGTTTCACCGTGTTGGTCAGGCTGATCTTGAACTCCCAACCTCGGGTGATTCGCCCACCTTGGCCTCCAAAGTGCTTGGATTACAGGTGTGAGCCACCGTGCCTGGCCACAAGCCCTGGTTTCTTATTAGCTATGTGACTTAGGGCCTCGCTTTTATTTGTAAAATGTGCATCTGAATTCTGCATGTCACTGTTCCATCAGCCACAAGGTCACAGCAGTGAGATTCCTGGATGACACATGGGGACAGTGTGATCCCACCGCTAACCACAGGCACCTGGAATAGGAGCAGGCACCTGACCTGAATACAGCCAATAAGATTGAGAAGTTTGGATGAAGGGTTTAGGGTGGGACAGGCACCATGGTTCACACCTAAAGTAATCCTGGCACTTTGGGAGGCCAAGGTAGAAGGATCAATGGAGCTCAGGAGTTTGAGACCAGCCTTGGCAACACAGTAAGACTCCATTTCTACAAAAATAAAAATAAAATAAAAGTTAGCTGGGTGTGGTGGTGCACCTGTGGTCCCAGGAACATGGGAGCCTGGGGTAGGAGGATCACTTGAGCCTGGGAGGTCGAGGCTGCAGTGAATTATGATCACGCCATTGCACTCCAGCCTGGGCAACAAAGGGAGACCCTGTTTAAAAAAAAAAAAAAGGTTTTGGCTGGGCATGGTGGCTCACACTTGCAATCCCAGCACTTTGGGAGGCCAAGGTTGGCGGATCACCTGAGGTTGGAAGTTCGAGACCAGCCTGACCAACATGGAGAAACCCTGTCTCTACTAAAAATACAAAATTAACCAGACAAAGTGGTGCATGCCTGTAATCCCAGCACTCTGGGAGGCCAAGGCAGGTGGATCACCTGAGGTCAGGAGTTTAAGACCAGCCTGGCCAACATGGTAAAACTCCATCCCTACTAAAAATATAAAATTAGTCTGGCATGGTGGTGCCTCTATCACAATGAACAGCTTGCCGGTACCCCATACTCCTGTATATGCTCCTGTATCCACAACTCTGTGTGTGTGTGTGTGTGTGTGTGTGTGTGTGTTTGAGACAGATTCTCACTCTATTGCCCTGGATGGAGTGCAGTGGCATGATCTCAGCTGACTGCAGTCTCAACATTCTGGGCTCAAGTGATCTTCCCACCTCAGCCTCCCAATTAGCTGGGACTACAGGTGCATGCCACCACATCCAGCTAATTTTTTTGTCCTTTGTAGAGACAGGGCTTTCATGCATGCTTATAATCCCAGCTACTTGGGGAGGATGAGGCAGGAGAATTGCTTGAACCCAGGAGGTGGAGGTTGCAGCGAGCCAAGATCACACCATTGCACTCCAGCCTGGGCAACAAGAGTAAAACTTTTTGCTAAGAAAAAAAAAAAGTAAATATATGCAAAAGCCCTTACCTCAGTGCCTGGCCCATGGTAAATAACATGGACTACATGGTGGCTAATATAATCAAGCCACAAGGACACACTATTACAGGAACTAGACAAATTAATCATCTTGCCCAGTCATCTAAATTACTCTTCCCTGGAAGGGTGGCATGTCGTGGGGTTGTCCTTGGTCCTCTCCCAGGCCATAATTTTATCAATGGCTGGATCTGGCTGTTGAAGCTGTTTATTATGCTGGTGGATGACATTCAGATGGGAGGTACACAGAATAAACTCGATGACGGAATGTGGGTTCAGATCAATTTCTTCAGGTTAGAGAGGGAGCCAGAGTGGCTGGATAAGATGCATCACGGTGAAGGTAAAGGTCCTGTACAAGGCGAGGCAGTGCGAGGGAAGGGTGGCTTGAGAAAAGTTCAGGAGACAGAAGGCAGGGCTTTCAGCTGATGCGCCCAGGATAAGCTAACATTACGGCATGGCTGCCAAAACCACCACTGCCATGGCACACAACACGTGTGTGAGAAATACTTGCTCAGACTAAGACAGATGAAGGGTACTAACATATTTTAGCAACTAATATGTGCCGGGCCCCATGCTGAACACTTGACATCAGCTATTTCCATTGACACTCTCATTAACCCTAGGAGGTAGGTATTATTATCCTTATCCCCATTTGACAGGTGAGAACGCTGAGGCTTAGAGAGGTGAAGTGAAGGACAGCCAAAAAAGGGTGAAGTTGGGCCTGGACTGCTCCAAACCTAGAGGCAGCACATTCTCCAGGGAGAGGAGAAGGCCCCAGACGAAGGGTCAAAGGATTGACCAAGAGCTCCTGTGGGGATACCAGGAGGTAGCCTGTCAATCTCACCAGCCTTCAGGAGCTGTGACTGTGGGTCTTCGGGCCAGAAAGGCAGAACATAGCCAAAAAAGAAAAGAGAGACCGTGTGCTCACAAAACCAGCGATTACATTACACGTCTTGCAGCAAGTTCTGACCCTCTACCCATAAGTACTGGCAGCCATCTATATCGCCTACAGAGAAGAAAATGGGAAATCAGCGGCTCATGCCTGTAATTCTAGTGTGTGGGAGGCCGGGGCAGGAAGAATGCTTGAGGCCAGGAGTTCAGACCAACCTGGTCAACATGTGAGACACGTTCTCTATAAACAAACCAAAACAAAGAAACTGGGAATCATACTACACAGAAGAGCACACATCCACGAATCACAAAATATTCCATGAAAGATGGGGATGAATTTAATAAATAGAAGAAATATCAATCAAACAGATAATAATGCAAGCAGAGACACTTAAAATATATTTAACATTATCAGAAGGATAAGAGAGGAAGGACATTGCATCTATTGAACAAGAACAGCCTATTACAGAAAAAGAATTAATTAAAAATCACATTGATGGCAACTTGGGAAATGTAAAAAAAAAATCACAAAAGATTTAGTCATCAATCATTTGTGACCAGCCTGGCCAATATGGTGAAAACATGTCTCTAGTAAAAATACAAAATTAGCCAGACGTGGTGGCGAGTGCCTGTAATCCTAGCTACTCGGGAGGCTGAGGCAGGAGAATCTGGGAGGTAGAGGTTGCAGTGAGCTGAGACCATGCCACTACAATCCAGCCTGAGCCACAGAGCAAGACTCTGTCTTTAAATAAATAAATAATAAAATAAATAAAAGTAATCAAAACATGCTGAAGGGCAGAAGAGATACAGATAGAAAGAAAATTAGTGATCTGGAAGATCAGACAGAGGCATTTTTCCAAAACACAGAAATAAAGACAAAGAGGACTGGCAAAAATTTAAAAAGCTGTTAATTACTATTGCATAAAATTAAAGAGAGGCTTTCTCAGATGTTTTTGTTAGAAGTGTGAATTCAGATTTTCTCATAAGGCTATTTCCAGATTTCGTACCACATGAGCCAAATGAATCTCTATTATTTAGGCTAAGAGTAAGCAAATTAGTCACAGGTCAAATCCGGCCAGCCACACCTATTTTTGCAGATAAAGTTTTACTGGAACACTGCCAGGTTCATTTACATATTGACTAGGGCTGCTTCTGTGCTCAATGGCAGAGTAGTTGTGACAAGAGACTGTGTGGTCCACAAGGATGAAATATTATCTGGTCCTTTACAGAACAAAGTTTGCTGACCCCTGGTTTAGACCATTATTATTTGGGATTTTCGCTATTTGTGGCCAAAAGTACTTCTCACTGAAATAAATAATAGAGTTGCATAGGCTGGGTGCGGTGGCTCATGCCTATAATCCTAGCACTTTAGGAGGCCAAGGTGGGCAGATCGCTTGAGGCCAGGAGTTTGAGACCCGCCTGGTCAACATGGTAAAACCCTGTCTCTACAAACATAACAAAACAAAACAAAACACAAAAATTTGCTAGGCATGGTGGTGCACACCTGTAATCCCAGCTACTCCCAGCTACTTGGGAGGCTGAGGTGTAAGGATCGCCTCCAGAAGGCGGAGGTTGCAGTGACCTGAGATCACACCACTGCACTGCACTCTGGCCTGGGCAACAGAGTGAGACTCTCCATCCAAAAACAAACAAACAAACAAAGAATAGAGTTTTATAAACAGAAAAAGCTCCAGAGAGATGAACATCCAATGTATAACAGCAGTTATGTCTGGGAAGGGAAATGAGATTGAGGGTAAATTTGAAGGCAAATTTTTTTTTTTTTTCTTGAGGCGGAGTTTCGCTCTCATTACCCAGGCTGGAGTGCAATGGCGCGATCTTGGCTCACCGCAGCCTCCGCCTCCCGGGTTCAGGCAATTCTCATGCCTCAGCCTCCTGAGTAGCTGGGATTACAGGCACGTGCCACCATGCCCAGCTGATTTTTTGTATTTTTAGTAGAGACGGGGTTTCACCATGTTGACCAGGATGGTCTCGATCTCTTGACCTTGTGATCCACCTGCCTCGGTCTCCCAAAGTGCTGGGATTACAGGCGTGAGCCACCGCGCCCGGCCCTGAAGGCAAATTTTTTAATAACAACAATGTACTCAAATTATTTGGTAATTTAATTTTTCCGAGAATAATTGAAGGTCTCATACCATGGTGATCATGAACAAAGTACTGATGTATTAAAAAACATGGATGGGGCTGGGAGCAGTGGCTCACACCTATAATCCCAGCACTTTGGGAGGCCGAGGCGGGCGGATCACGAGGTCAAGAGATCGAGACCATCCTGGCCAACATGGTGAAACCCCGTCTCTACTAAAAAATACAAAAATTAGCTGGATGTGGTGGTGTGCACCTGTAGTCCCAGCTACTCGGGAGGCTGAGGCAGAAGAAATGCTTGAACCCAGGAGGTGGAGAATGCAGTGAGCCGACATTGCACCACTGCACTCCAGCCTGGAGCCTGGCAACAGAACAAGACTCTGTCTCAAAAAAAAAAAAAAAAAAAAAAAAAAAAAATTAAAAAACATGGATGGAACCAGGCATGGTAGCTCAGCTACTTAGGAGGCTAAGGCAGGAGAATTGCTTGAGCCCAGGAGTTTGAGGCTACAGTGAGCTGTGACTGCACCACTGCACGCCAGCCTGGGCGACAGAGCAAGACACTGTCTAAACAAAAAAAAAGAGAGAGAGTCAAAATAGTAGTTATCCTTGGAGAGGTATTAACTGGGAGGGGACATGTGAAAACCTCTTAAATGAAGCATATAGAATAGTCTACATTTGATGTGAATAACTGATTTTATATATTTACATCTAAAAATTCATAAAACTATACATTTAAGCTTGTTTATTTTTACTGCACATAAGTTATACCTCAATAAATACATTTTTAAAAGAATAATGCAAAGTAGACATTTTAAATTATCCCTTAGTATGGCCCTAATTCTGAAATATATGTAGTTGCATTAAAAAAAATGCTAGAGGTGCAGTGGCTCATGACTGTAATCCCAACACTGGGAGGCAGAGGCAGGAGGATTGCTTGAGTTCAGAAGTTCGAGACCAGCGTGGGTAACATGGTGAGACCCCCGTTTACGAAAAATACAAAAATTAGCAGGAGATGGCGGCATATGCCCATAGCCCCAGCTACCCGGGAGGCTGAAGTGAGAGGATCACTTGAGCCACGTTCATGCCACTGCACACCAACCTGGGTGACACAGTGAGACCCTGCCTCAAAAAAAGAAAAAAGAAAGAAAGAAAGAAAGAAAACAAAAAGGAAAGAGAAAAGGGGGTGGAAGAAAAGGCTAGAAAGAAATATAAAGATAAATACAGATGATCCCAACTTGCAATGGCTCAACTTAGAATGTTTCAACTTTATTGTGGTATGAAAGCAATATACATTCAGTGGCAACCGTATTCCGGTACCCAGCCATTCTGTTTTTCACTTTGAGTACAGTACTCAATAAATTACATGAGATAATCAACACTTCATGTAAAATACGCCTTGTGTTAGATGATTTTGCCCAACTGTAGGCTAATATAAGTGCTCTGAGCACATTTAAGGTAGGCCAGGCTAAGCTATGATGTTCAGCAGGTTAAGTATATTAAATGCACTTTCTTTTGATTTACAGTATTTTCAACTTAGGATGGGTTTACTGGGACATAGCCCATTGTATATTGAGGAGCATCTGCAATAGTGATTATCTAGGTGGTAGGATAACAAATCATTTTTTTATCTGTCTGCATTTTTTAATTTCTTGACAATCAGCATGCATGAGTTCTGGAATCAGAAAGAAATTAAATCTTGAATGCAGATCCCACTGGGCTGGGTATCTACAGGTGTTAGCTACACCAATCCTGCCTCCCTACACCAACCAGCTACTCCAGCTGACGGAAAGTGGTGTGGACAGGACCTGACAAAGGGAATCAATGAATAATAAACAGCAAACACTTCAGCAGCCCTTACAGATATGGTTCTAAGCACTTTACATGGATTAGTTTTTAAATTCTCTCAACAACCCCAGGAGGAGGTACTCTAGTTTCAGCTCCATTCTGCAGCTGAGGAAACTGACGCACAGAGAGGTTAAGTAACTGCTGAAGACCACACAGCTAGTGGTAGAGCCAGGATGTGAACCTGGGCTGTCTGCCCCAGATTCCTGCCCTGCCTGCCCTGGACCATTCGACCTCTCAGTGCCAAGCCACTTCGCAGGGCTTCAATAAAGCACGAGTGCCCCAAACAATGTCTTTTTTTTTTTTAAGTTAGGTTTCTATATTTAAAAAAAAAAAGTTGGAAAAGTCCAGAACTTTGTTGAACTTCCTTATACTTGTTTCTATTTTTTTTTTTTTTTTTTCAAACAGAATTTCACTTTGTCACCCAGGCTGGAGTGCAGTGGTGTGATCTTGGCTCATTGCATCCTCAATCTCCCAGGCTTTAGTGATCCTCCCACCTCAGCTTCCCAAGTAGCTGGGACTACAGGCACGCACCATCATGCCTGGCTCATTTTTGTATTTTTAGTAGGTATGGAATTTTGCCATGTTGGCCATGCTGGTCTCGAACTCCTGGGCTCAAGTGATCCTCCTGCCTTGGCCTCCCAAGGTTCTGGGATTACAGGCGTGAGCCTCTGCACCCGACCTTATTTCAGTTTTTATTTTGAATTATATAGTGGTGGTGGGGAGGGACGCACAGTTCAGTGGCTTCTTTTTTTAATTGTAATTTTTTTCTGAGACAGGGTCTCACTATGTTGCCCAGGCTGGTCTCAAACTCCTGGGCTCAAGTGAGCTTCCTGCCTAAGCCTCCCAAAATGCTAAGATTACAAGCATGAGTCACCACATCTGACCTTCAGTAGCTTCTTTTTTAAAAAATTTATTTTTATTTTTAATTTTTGTGGGTATATAATAGGTGTATATATTTATGAATTACATGAGATGTTTTTATTCAGGTATGCAAGGCATAATAATCACATCAGGGTAAAAGGGGCATCCATTCCTCAAGTATTTGTCCTTTGTGTTTATAAACAACCCAAGTATATTATTTTAGTTATTATTATTTTTTTGAGACAGAGTCTCCCTCTATCTCCCAGGCTGGAGTGCATTGGTGTGATCTTGGCTCACTGCAACCTCTGCTTCCTGGGTTTAAGTGATTCTCCTGCTTCAGCCTCTCCAGTAGCTGGGACTATAGGTGTATGTCACCACCACATCTGGCTAATTTTTGTATTTTTAGTAGAGTTGGGGTTTCACCATATTGGCCAGGCTGGTCTCAGACTCCTGGCCTCCAGTGATCTGCCCACCTTGGCCTCCCAAAGTGCTGAGATTAAAAGTGTGAGCCACTGTACCTGGCCTCTTTTAGTTATTTTTAAATGTACAATTAAATTATTTTTGACTAAAGTCACCATGTTGTGCTGGCAAATACTAGGTCTTATTCATTCTTTCTAGTTTTTTGCTTTTTTTTTTTGAGACGAAGTCTCACTCTATCGCCCAGGCTGGAGTGCAGTGGCACGATCTTGGCTCACTGCAACCTCCGCCCCTGCCCCCAAGAGTTCAAGCAATTCTCCTACCTTAGCCTCCGGAATAGCTGGGTTCACATGCATGTGCCACCATGTCCGGCTAATTTTGTATTTTTAGTAAAGACGGGGTTTCACCATGTTGCCTGGGCTGATCTCAAACTCCTGACCTCCAGTGATCTGCCCACCTCGGCCTCCCAAAGTGCTGAGGCTACAGGTGTGCGCCACTGTGCCCAGCCATTCTTTCTGCTTGTTTTGTGCCCATTAACCATCCTCACTTCTCCTGTCAACCTTCACAGCCTCTGTGACCCATCCTTCTATTCTCTACATCCATGAGTTTGTTTTACTTTTTAGCTCCCATAAATAAGTGAGAACGTGAAATTTGTCTTTCTGTATCTGGCTTATTTCACTCAACATAATAACCTCCAGTTCCACCCATGTTGTTGCAAATGACAGGATCTCATTCTTTTTTCTGGCTGAATAATACTCCATTGTTTGTGCACCACATTTTCTTCATACATGTGTCTGTTGGACACTGAGGTTGCTTCTGAGTCTCGGCTGTTGTGAACAGTGCTGCAAGAAACATGGGCGTCCAGAAATCCCTTGGATATACTGATTTCCTTTCTTCTCGGTATACACCTAGTTGTGGGATTGCTGGATCGTATGGTGGCTGTATTTTCAGTTTTCAAGCAACTTCCAAACTGTTCTCCATAATGATTATACTAATTTACATTCCCGAAACACGTGTACAAGGATTCCCTTTTCTCTGCATCCTTGCCAGTATTTGTTTTTGCCTGTCTTTTGAATAAAAGTCATTTTTACCGGGATAAGATGATATCTTATTGTAGTTTTGATTTGCATCTAGCGGCTTCTAACCAGAATCTGGCTGTGGTCAATCGCACTGAGTTGGGGGAAGTGAATGTCAGACCAGTTCCCCTGGCCAGATGAGGAAATGGGGCTCACATTTACCTGGCAGTCATTGTCTCTGCCCAGCCCTGTGGTCACAGGAGTGCGGGGTCCTCCTGTCTGGCTGTGAACCAGCAGCAAGGCCCTGCAGAGAAGAGAGAAAGTGGCGTGCCCTTGCCACTTTGCCAGAGTGCACAGAACGTAGGCTGTCGGCCGAGCCCTCTACTGGCTGTGTTACCCAGGGAAGGCTGTCTCACTGCTCTGAGCCTAGACTTGCTCTCATGCAAGATGAGAGTAATATCGCTTCCCTTATCAGGGTATTGTGAAGAGTCAATAAGACAACAGATGTGAACATAACTTTTTTTTTTGAGATGTGGTTTCCCTCTTGTCCCCCAAGCTGGAATGCAGTGGCGAAATCTTGGCTCACTGCAACCTGTGCCTTATAGGTTCATGCGATTCTTTTGCCTCAGACTCCTGAGTAGCTGGGATTACAGGTGCCCACCACCATGCCTGGCTAATTTTTGCATTTTTAGTAGAGATGGGGTTTCTCCATGCTGATCAGGCTGGTCTCGAACTTCTGACCTCAGATGATCTGCCTGCCTTGGCCTCCCAAAGTGCTGGGATTATAGGCGTTAGCCACCATGGCCGGCTGAATGTAGTTTTTAACAATTGTGCTGTCAGTTATTATTCCCACTACGCAGTGGCCATGCAGGTGACAGCTGCTGTTTTTTGCCTTTCCCTCTTTTTCTGGCACCAGCATCCTGATCTTCATTTGGGAAAATACCCCTTCCTGACCATGTGCTTAACATAGGGTTGACCCCATCCAACCTTTGTCTCCAGGACGCATGCACACAACCCCCACATGGGCCAGTGAGTCTCGATCTGGGGCCTTGGCTGAACAGTTAGCCTTGGAAAGTGCTCACTCTTTGCTGAAGTTGCTGAGAGAATTCTGATAAGGACAGGAAGCAGAAGGGGAAGAGGA